AGTCGTGGCAAGGACAGATTACCCTTCAACGCGGCGTAACAGCAGAGCTCTGGCAGACAGAACATTGATCCAGGATAACACCTGGAACAGGACTGTCACCATCACCATGGAGAAGCTGCAGGCCCAGGACAGCGGTGTGTACTGGTGTGCAACCTACAGAGGCTCTCACCTCATGGAGAAAATGGAGGTCAGGCTCTCTGTGTCCAAGAGTGAGTACCCACTGGCAGCCAAGCGTGGATGTTGGCGGATTTCAGCCCTACCTCCCCCTGTCCTGCACCGCACCATGGAGAAGCCCAGCGCTGCCGCCCCACAGCCCATGCCCATCTCTCCCTGCCTGCCTGTCTCTCGGGCAGAGACGCTGGCGGCTGCCCCTTGGGCCTGTGGAGCCAAAGCTCGGGCCTGGCCCTTCACCTCCTGTCTGCTCCCAGCAGAGACTCAGGGGAGCTTCCCAAGAGCTCCCACAAATGGGGCCACTCTTCACAACTGCTTCCCACAGGGCCGACCCAGGGGCTCCAGGGGCAGCTTCCCCACCTCAGCACTCGGCTGGCCCGTGCTGGGCGCTGCTGGAGACCTCCCCACTGCCACTTGCATTGCTCTTGCTCTGGCCCCGCAGCTGCCACCCCTCCCTGCTCCTTGCCTCCCACACCCCACAGGCTGAGCGCCTGCGAGCACGTGGTCCCTGGGGGAAACAAAGGAAGGGGCCAGGACCCCACGCAGTTTGTGACTCACCTCTGCACGAGTGATCGGGCTCCACTCAGTCCCCTTCTGCTCCTCGGGTCTGGAGGTAGAAGGACATCCGCGGAGCATTCAGCCCACAGCGTGTATGCCAGAGGTGGGGAAGGGGTGCCACTCTGCCTGCTCTGGCATCTCACCAAACATGCCGGCTGTTTTCCAGGGACACAGCAATGCACAGCCAAGGAGTCAGGCAAGGTCTCTGTCCAGTGTCCCTACAGCGCCCCAGACTATGGGGCTGTGAGCAAAGCCTGGTGCAAGGAGGGAGATAGCCCAGGATGTCGCGTACTGGTCAGCACGAGCTACTCCAGGACACCCCAGAAAGGCAGAGTCACGATCCAGGACGACCCCCAGCAGGGCATTGTCACCATCACCATGGAGGAGCTGCAGGCACAGGACTCGGGCGTGTACTGGTGTGCGCTTCATGAAGATGCTCATCTTTTCCGAATGGTGGAGGTTACACTCAATATTTCCGACGGTGAGTACTGGCCTGTAGAGAAGAAACGCGGTGCTTTGTAGATTCCAGGCTCGCTTTCCTGCTCTCTCCCTCTAGTCTCTGCACTGCCGAACTCTCGCTACCTCCCACGTTACACCCGCACGCGTTTCCCTGCCCAAACCCAACGTCACCGTACCTTCTCACACCAGCCATGCTACGGAATAGCAACAGGGATCAGAACTGAACCCCAGGCATGGGCTGTATTGCTTCTCTTGCACCCAAGAGCAGCCTCAGTCGTTTTCACAGAGCTGTTGCTGTCCCTCCTTGCCATGATACCAGTTCTGCCCCTTTACAGCAACCCATCCCTTGGCTTGCAAAGACTCTGAAGACCTTCCCGTGTGCTTGCCGGGAGGACAACCTCTACACCCATATTGGAAAGATCTGTGACTCCTAGGTTTTCTTCCAGCGTGAAGTTTTAGCGCTGCGTGGTAACACTTAGGTA